CAGTATTCCAGCCACTTTGCCCTATGCCTGTAAGGTTGCTGTGACCAAAGTGCAGGACCCAGCACTCGGCCTTGTTGAACCTCATCTCACTGGCTTCAGTCCAGTGAATCAGCCTGTCCAGATTCCTCTGCAGGGCCTCGCTACCCCAGGCAGATCAACACTTCCAGCCAACATGGTGTCATCCGCAAACTTATTTAGGGTGCACTCAATGCCTTCATTCAGCTCATCAATAAAGATACTGAAGAGGACAGGCCCCAGTACCACCCCCCTGGGGAACATCATTTGTGACTGGTGTTATAGCTGCACGCAGCTTTCCTATGCATTCAGTCAAAATCAAAGTCAGGAAGTCCTCATGCTGCTTTCTTCTCTCCACGTACCTCCGGGACTTAAACAAGATGTATCTGCTACTCAAATATTAGCAAAGCAAAGCTGTGTCTGAGACAGAATGAGAAACAGGCACAACCTTTAAGATCATGCGTAAGCACAGATTCAGTAATGTTATACGCTGAAAATTAGACATGACCAATCACAACTCAAAGTCCATAAGTAATATTTCCAGACAACCTTCCAGCTTCTGATCTATCCAAGCAACTGACCTGGATTCCTACTGAAAACTAAATAGCAGTTACAGCAAAAAGCAGCAATGCTACGTAAACACAAAACCAATGAAGAATCCCAGTAATTAAAAGTTTCATCTTGCTGCATAAGAGATCACTATGCCACAGAGTCATGACAGAAATGACACTGCATCAGCTACATTCATCACATTGGAGATTAAGCTGCATCTTGCACAGCACAGAATCAGGACCTCTAAGTTAAGTGGGTTGGTACCCCATACCGCATTTAATCACTTCAAGTACTCAAGTTAACAGATCCATTACAAGGGCACTTCTCCCTGCAGATCAAACAACAAAGTCAAACTTACACATGAGAGAAAGCAGTGAACGATGTACACAGGCACACTTAAGAATCTGCAGCAGCTTCCTCAATTGCAAATCTCCAACAGCATGACAACCTACAAGAGCAGAGCACATGACCTCAAGGAGCAGGAGCATACTCCTCACTAAGGCAGCTTTAGGACTCAGTTTGGACAGTATAAAAATGAAAGACCAACTAAATAACGCAGATCATCAAGTACGTGCATGCTCAGTTGAAGCAGAACAATCCAGCTTGCATGCTCATTGCTTCAAGAGTTTGCCAGCACTGACTCCAGGAAGTTGGAGCATAAGAAAGGATTATACAAGAAAGGATGAGTTTCCAATTTTACTGAGGGAAACTTCAACTTTTCGTTTGTCCTCTATGCTCATAGAAACTAATGATTTAACCACCGTATTTTAAAAAAATGAAGCAAACATTGTGTGTAATACAAAAACTTAGTAACTTAAAAGCAATAACGATCTCAAATGCTTTTTTGCCCCCAGGTCCTTTTCTCCTAGATATGAAGTCATTCGCAGAAAAGCAGCACTCTGAAAACTTCTGGAAACCAGCTGCACAAGGTATTAACTAGTTTCTCTAAAGCAAGTCACAAACATTCCACCTCCACAAGCTTTCTGGTAGGATGGTCAGAGGGAGAAAAAAAGCATTCAAACCTCATGACAAGAGACTCTTGCTCCCTGCAAAAACCATCAGCAGACTCCTTCGCCAGAACCATGGTTTTCGGTAACAGTCACCCCCTTCTTGCACCTTATTCAAGTACACAAACACATTCTTCATCTCTAACCAGGGTCACAGGCAAACAGCACCTACTGGATGATCCTGAGAAATCCACTTCACAGCAGCTTACCCACAGCCAGATTAGCATTCCCACTTTGTGATCATAATGACTGATTGTTTTTTCTAGAACACCATTTCTTACAATTTAAGGCTCTTCACTGAAGATTGCTCCAGGCCCACCAGTATGAGCCCACTATGGAAGCTTACAACCACTTAGCAGCAGTGCTATTATTTTTTCACAAAATAAGAGTATTTTCCAAATGCAAGTTCCAACCCTTTAACTGCTTTGAAAAAGTATGAACTCCAGATGGTCTAAGCTGCACCAATCCTTTCCATTCTTTCAGCAGGGTCCCAGCTCACTGGCTTGGAGCTTCTGCTTAAAAAACAAGCACAGGCATGGATTCCTGCCTCGTTTGTGCAGCAACTCCAAAGAAACAAACACTTTGTAGCCTAAAAGAAGGGGCTACCATCTGACATGAAGTTAATCCATTTCACTGTTGAACTACATAAATATGGCTTAATTAAGAAATCACAGAGTGGCCAGATTCAATACTTACTGTCCCAGGCAACAGCAGAACTACCAGCCTGAAGGAGTCATTGAAACAGTCGTACTTGAAATGCCAGTTCAAGGAATGCGAGGTACTGAATGACAGATTATTAACTGTACCACAGAAGAAGAAAAGCCGAAGACACAAATCCAAAACCAAGCCAAAAAGGAAAACAAACAAACAAAAAAACCTACACAGCAGCTTTATTTTTTAAAGATGATCACCTATACCTCATGACAGCACTGATCAATTCTAAATAGGAAATACAATGGAAGCAGTACAGTGAGCATCTTTCTGTGCTTTCAAACTAAGCCTGTTAGAGACTACTGCACATCATCTCTCCTTCCTCCTAATTTATTTTTTTTAACATGCTAAAGTGCCTCTCCCTGCTTTATCTGTACTCAGTGAAAAGATGCCAACACATTAACTTTGCATACAGTGCTTACTATGCCCATCTTTGACTGCTAAATCTGAAGGCACGGACAGCCTCTAATCTGGAAAAAGCTTTATTTCCTCAGTTTAACACACAGTTAATTCCAAGACCTCTCAGATAATAATAGAACCGAATTCTAATTTCAAAATACCTTTCAGTGCCTATCCTTACAGTCTCCAGGAAGATAAGCTTCACTGTTCTCCTTAAATATATTTCTGAATCGTAAGTCAAGGCAAAAAATGAAGTAGTATCACACCCTGCTGCAAAGCCACAACCTTCTACCTCCTTCTTATATAAATCAGAAATATTATGGCAAGTTGCTTGGTTTTACTTTCCTTTTCACTGTTCACAATATTTACTGTTCTGCATTTGACATTTGAGATTGATTTGAAATGATGTTTCATAGTTTCCACGTTCAGTCTGCTGCAGCTGCTGTGCTAGAAAGCCTTTTTCAGTACTGGAGCTACCCCATAACTAACTTTAGTGTTGCCAGCACATCACCCAATCCTTCAAAAAGACAGACTTCTCCATATTTACATCAGATTTAATTTCCCAAAGTTCTGCCTCATTGCGTGCACTCTTGTGCAACAAAAAGATCCAAGCAGCAGGCCTTCACTCTGCCTGCATCGCTCCACTATCTCTCCCTGTTTCTGCCTCATACTTTGTGACAATGAGCAACTCACTTCCTCCATCAAAACTTAATCCAAATTGACTGTTTTTCCCTATCTCTGAATAACATACATCAAAAACAAACTCCATCTTACAACACACTGAGCCTAGGGTTACTGAAGGTAAGAAGCATTCAGAAAAGAGATAAGTTTAACACAAAAGAAACAAGATACTACTGAACACAGCTCTTGAACCTTTGTTCCTACTTCACTATGTAAACTTGCAGTGCTTTAGACAGCACTATATAAAATGACTTGTGCAAGAGAACTATGCATAATGCAACACAGCTTTGCCTTTAAAACACTGCAATAAAACAATGCTGTTAAAAACTACAGAAGTGTTTTGCGAGCAACACCTGTACCAACAAAGGAAACACAGCAAAGGTTAAAATTAGTACAGTCTATGACATCAGAACAGTGAACGTAGTTACGACTTGAGCCCTTTGGCATCACTTGTGCTACTTGTTCTAGTTACAGAAAGCCTTCATCACTTAAAAACGTCAGGTCTCAATTTTCCAATTCAGAAGCAAAATAAGGACAGTGTGGGGGTCAACACTTGGAATCCAACAGACGTATCATGCTATTAATCCTAACAGCTAGTAAAAGAACCTCTCCATACCATAGAATGTTGCTATGCATCTGTATTGAAAAAGGCTTGTTAAGTTGGTTACAGTCATTAATGTACTAACAATGCTTCTTGTTACACGACCTAAAGCTCTACTATAAATCCCTTAAACTCATAAATTGTATTTCACCAGGACTGAATAACTGAACCTGACTGACAAGCTCAAGCAGCTCAGCAGAACTGGGTTTCCATAGAATAAAACCAGTAACATGCAGAGGGATTAGAGAAAAAAAATGCAGTTGTTTCTGTGCCAAAGGAGAGGGGATTATTAATCAGGATTTATAGTAAGTATTAATATTGGACCTTAATATTACCAATACATCACCCCCCAACAATTACTATTAATTGCAACCTGACCGCAGGAAAACACGACTGTCAGGAAGTCACTCCCAGGTAAAAGGAAACTTTTCATTCATGAACTGCTGCAATGTGTCAGGAATAGCAGGGCTGAACAGAAAGCTCACAGCGAGCGTCCCATCAGCCCCCAGCACACACTTCTGTCTCAACAGCTCACCAACAGGAACACTGCTCCTCTGTAGCTTCTTCACCACGACCTTACCCGTGAAACTACAACAGCCACCTGTGTTTTTCTTCTGTTCTGAAGCCCATTCGGGTTGAATACGTCAGGCTTTGAAGACCTTCAACAGATCGGCGCTGCCCTGACTCCTACCAGCTCTTGTCACCCGCCTTGAAGGGGCCACACGAAAGCCGTTCAACTCCTGCTACTTCCGTCCCCAAAAGAAGGAAGCACATTTGCACAACTCTCAACTGTTTCAACTGCAGGCTACAGAACGATCTGCCCCGAGAAAACTTTCAAGAAGACGCTGAACCGAACAAAGCTGCGTGCAACCCTACAGCTGCGTGCGTTGGGCTCCCGTGCAAAGCGAGGAGCATTTCCACCGCCCTGCAGCAGTACCGCGGGACGGCAGGGCCCGCAGCGGGGCCCACCGCAGCTTTCCGGGCACCCAGATGCCCCTCAGCCCAGCCCAGCCCGTCCCCGGCCCCAGCGTTACCCTCCGCCAGCAGCTCCTCGGCGGTGACCTGGTGCCGCCCGACTGCGAACACCCGGCCCAGGGCGGCCGCGCCGCCCGCTCCTCCGGCTCCGCCGCCCGCTCCGCCGCCGCTCCCCTCGGCCTTGGGCATGCGGGAGAACTTCTTCATGGCGAGCGGGGCCCCGTGGCGGCCGGAGATGGGGAGCTGCCCGCTTCACATGCCTCCGCTCCTCGGCCGCTCCCCGCCGCCTCTGCCCGCCGCGGGGAGGAGGAGAAGGAGGAGGGAAGGGAGGAAGGGGGCGGCGCGCCCGAGCCGGGGGAGCCGAGAAGCACAGCCCCGCACCGCGCCGCGAGGGGAGGGAATGCCTCGGGGGGAGGGAGCGGGGGGCGCTGCGGCGCATCGCGCAGGCGCAAGCCCGCCTCTCGCAGGCGGGCACGCGGCCGGAAGTGACGTTTAGAGCCTCGGGAGGCGCGTGGAGCGCTGGGGGGGGGCTTCGTTCACGTGTGTGGTGCGGGCAGCTGTTTGTCCATCCTCCCAGCGCCTCGTTGAGGGCTGCACTGTGCTCCCCGTAGGAGGAATAACTGTAAAAAAAATTAATAATAATAAAAAAAAAAGGGTGTGAGGGCGAGAGTGAATTCGTGAATTCCTAGCAGTGGATCTCCACGAGTGTCCCAAGCAGTGAGTAGCAGTTCACAGACTAAAAAGGTGTGGTAAAAATATGGATGTGGAAAAAAAAACACCAGCTGTGGATTTCTCTCTGTGAAACTTGTCCAGCGTCGCTGGACATCTGCTCCGTAGACATTGAGGGAGCAAAACTGGGGTTTCCCCAACACAAGTGGAGTTTTGAGAAAAGTTTTTATAGAAAAAAAGCTTCTGGCCCGTAGGAAGCACATCAGTGGTGTTTGTTACAGTTCCCTAAAAACAGCATTGGGGAAGTACCCGTTTCCCAATAGTTTGTCTCAAATTTCAAATTCAAGTTTAGAGTAAAACCTGATGTCAATCTGACATGGTCTTCGTACTGAAAGTGTCTCTGCTCCTCCCAAAATAGTCACATGAGTCATTGCAAGAAACGTTTGTCATACATTACAAAAGACCTTTAAGATCCCCAAGTCCAACCATGAATTCATCCCCATCATGCTCACTGACCACATCCCCCAGTGCCACATCTCTGCAGTTCTTGAACTACCTCAGGGGCAGTGACTCCACCACTTTCCTGGGCAACCTGTGCCACTGCATCACCGCTCTTTCTAAAGAGATGAAATTGTTCCTAAATATCCAAGCTGAACTTCCCTACCATTACCTCCCATCCTACTGCTATTACCTGGGAGAAGAGGCTGGTTCCCATATTACTACAACCTCGTTTTTATCCCCAAAGAGGGATAAAGTCTTCCCCTCTCAAGAATCAAATTAGTTTTGGCTTAATCATATGGCTGTACTCCAAGTTAATACCAAATGACAGTATTTCTCTGTTGAAGTGACAACATGTCATACCTTGAAAGCACTGACATACTTATTCCCACTGTAGTTCCTTTCTTCAGTTGTTTCCATCCTCTTTGTAATTGGAGATCAATTTTTCAGCAGCACACAGAGAATCTAATCCACAGTTTTCTTTAGAAGATAAAGGTACTTCGACTGCAGATGAAAGGGACAGAGTACTGAGGAGAACGGCACATCCTCACAGTGATGTGTGCCTGGGCTCCTTAGAAATAAACTTGTAATTGTCTTTGGAAAAAGAAGCAAAGCTGACTTGAAAGTACATACATTTAGTGACAGCAATGAGTACAGCTTTGCTTATCCTCAACCAGAAGTGAAATATTTTCCAAACATTGCTCTGAGAGGGTTGAATTGGGTTTTTGTTTGGGTCATTGCTTTTATTGATTTTGGCTCCTATCCCCATACAATTCTGTGCTTTTTAAGGTAAGAGATTTAATTGTTGCCAGAGTTATTTAAAGGCTGGACAAATGAACACTCTTGTTATGCAGGGATTAACACTGCTAATCCTTGCCTTTGCACATGAGAAGATGTAGAGGTCAACTACGTCAGCATAGCCAGCAGATGCGTGCATCACTATTGCTTGCAGAGCTGCAGTGATGGATATGGCAAGTCACTCCAAAATGATGGACATTGCCAGTAACTTCAAAGAGGCACAGCACAGCTAAGTTACGAAGCTCCACAGTTGTTTAATTGGAAACTTGGCACCCAGATGGTCTATTTCTATGAGAAGCCAGCTTGTGATGTTTTATGCCAAGAAATATAGTTGCTTTGACTGGTTATTTAAAAAAAAATGTGCCCGATCCTCCAAATGGCTAAATAAGTGATAATCTGAACACAGAACTAAGCCACCGACTTTGATTTAATTCTTTGTCTGAGCAGAACTGCGTTTTGCTATTTCTAGAAACTATTTTGATTTCAATAAAAGGAGAGTTGGGTGAAGCAATGCATTGGCACAGGCTGCCCGGGGAGATGGTGGAGTCACTGTCCCTGAAGGTGTTCAAGAACCATGGTTTGCGGACATGGTGGGGTTAGATTTGGTGATCTTAAAGGTCTTTTGTAACCTTAATGATTCTGTGATTAAGTCTTTCACTCAGAGTATGAAACACAAAGTAAACTCTGTTATCCCTTACTGAAATGAAACCTCCTATTTTGTTTCAGGCAGAGAAGAGATGGTTCGATCTTCTACAGTTGCAAGTAATGAAGTAAAACCAATGTACATACTGCAACATCTGCTCAACACAGAGACAGTACAACAAGGACTTTGCACTAATACCAAAAGTAAAGAAACTGAAAACGTTTTAAGTAATTGAATGTGTGCACAAGTAGTATTAAGTTCTGGGTAGATGTGCAATAATGGGTGGTCTGAAGAAATAGCCAGGGACAACTAACAGAAAATCAGAAAGTCAGGAGAGATCCACTACAGAGGGAGAGAAATAGGGGAGGGATGTTAGTAAAGAAGCTGGGTCAAAGCCATGAAGGTTTGTTTGTAAAGTTGGGGTTTTTGCTTTTTTTTCTCTTTTTTTTCTTCTTTTTTTTTTTTTTTTTTTTTTCTCATACTAAGTAATGGTTATGCTTTTCAACTCTATGATCAGAGTAGATCATCAGCTTTCGTTACTGAAAAAAAAAACCCAACACCCAACTAAGAATAAAGGTCATTTTTGCTTTTTATGACTATGAAATCAGTGGTGAGCTTTCACTACATGAAAACAGAAGAGGAAAAGTCCCAGTGGCATGCTGTGTACATTTGTTTCCATCTCTATTTTGCTAGATTTTAGATATTTGTTTTTTTCTTCTTTTTCTTGCTTGGGGTCTGTAATACCCCCAATATTTTCTTCCTGTTTCTTTTTCTTTTTTTTTTAATAGCATAATGGTAGACCTATAACAGAACATAAGCAGTTCCACATATTGCATTTACTCAGCATCTTGAACACCTTGCATCTTGAATCTTCTCTCACAGGGTCAAAAAAGCAAACTTCAGGTTTTTGTTGGTGTTGTTTGTCTTTCTCAGAGTCACAACAGTGTGTCATGTTTTGTCTCATTAGCTTTATTTCAGAAAGCTGTTGCACCTCAATTACAAAAATAATAAAGCTAAGATAATTATCTACTCCAGTGTAAAACACTTTGAAGATTTATGGATGAAGGCACTAAGTGGGAACAACTTGAAAATGAAACAACAGATACTCTATATGCACTCACCTCAAGGTTGGTGTTTGAGGAGTGACAATTTAATCCTCTTCAAACTGCTTAACAGTTCAAATGCCTTTTATCATGATTACTGTTTCTCATGCATTTCTCTTCTTATATCTTCCCCGCTTTTAACTCTTTCCCCCATGCAGTATATAAATTGGTTTTGAATGAATCCCTTAAGAATCAGTTTCCAGTACAAATGTCAAATGTCCCTGACAGCTATTAAGGAGAAAGATGAGTGGAAAACTTTCTTGGTGTAAATACTAACTGCAAATCACTTGCTGTTTCCAGACAAAATCTTTATGTGATCTTTATGTGTGTAATCTTTTGGTGAAGGTCCTGGAGCATCTCCCCTATGAGGAAAGGCTGAGTGAACTGGGTCTGTTCAGCCTTGAGAAAAGAAGACTGAGAGGGGACCTGATCCAAGGTCTATAAATATCTAAGGTGTGGGGGGCAGAATGGCAAGGCCGGACTCTTTTCAGTGGTGAGTGGAGACAGGACAAGGGGAAATGGCTGGAAACTGCAGCATAGGAAGTTCTGCACAAATGTGCGCAAGAACTTCTTTACAGTGAGGTGACGGAGCACTGGAACGGGCTGCCCAGGGAGGTGGTGGAGTCTCCTTCTCTGGAGATGTTTAAGACCTGCCTGGATGCCTACCTGTGCGACCTGCTGTAGGGAACCTGCTTTGGCAGGGGGGTTGGACTCGATGATCTCTGGAGGTCCCTTCCAACCCCTACAATTCTGTGATTCTGTGATTTATGTGCTGATTACTCATGCTTAGTATTAGAAAGTAAAGCAAAAATATTATTTTCTGCAAATCTATTCTTATAAAACTCTTAAATATCATTTATTTATTTTTCACTTTCATTGAAAACATTGATCTGTGCCTTTGTCACATAGGTGCTCAACTGTTCAGCATTTATTGCAGTAATTAGGTTTCTGGGTGGGTTTTTTTTTTTTTTTTTTGGCCTTGAGTATATGAGGGTTATTCTCTTTTGTAATTTTTTTAGTCTATCTGAACAAAGCAATGCTGAAGGGGCTTTCCTGATAAGCACTTAGGGCTTTTTTCCCCAGCTCTTTTCTCTTCAGCATTGCATATTTGTCCCAAGAAAGCCGTAAGAACCATCATTTAATACAGCAGAAGTTATACAATTGTCCTATTTTAATACTATTCCTTAGTTTTGTACTGCTGACCTTGAAGGAGTTTGATTTAGAGAAAGGCACTAAAACCAGACAAAATGGTTTAAATGAGCTAAGAGCCAGGAAAGCTCTAGGAGACAACTTGTTTAGCTTTGGATTTCTGTTTGTTTTTTCTAGGATCAAGTCATATCGCTCCTCTGAATCAGCAGTGGTACTGAGAGGCTTTCTTTTTTTTTTTTTTTGCTTAATGCAATGACAAAAATCACTTGCTGCAGTAGGAAAACACACATTACCTCTGGAGTAATTACATGGCTGAAGATCTGAACAGCATTCCAGGCCATTCACAGACCCAGGGCAAAGAGAGGCAAATAAGCATCCTTTTCAGTTTTTACAATTTGTTCCAATCAGAAAGTGAACAAAAAGGAGTTGTGGAAAAGAAATCATGGATTTCTGACAATAGAACAGAAACAAATCCGTAG